GATGACTCCAAGTGATTGTGAATTGTTATAGTCGATAGCCTAGTCATTTTTGAATTAAGGATAAAAGTTTACTAGACAGTTTTTGTTCAGAACCGAATTTCCTATCGATTAAGAATATTGTATACTAGGTGTCCCATTCAAAGAAATTGATCATTCTGACATAACTCGTGAAGAGATGATTAATTTTTGGCCAATGTCCAAGAGTTATCCGCTGGAAAATAATTTGAAGTTGTCAAAGTCGATCGTGTTGTCATAGTGATCGATAATGGCACTGGATGCAGTTATCAATAGTAATTTACGTCACAAGTCCGGAAAGTACTGTTTTCCATATTATATTTCTTTGTGGAGTACAATTGCTTCTTTATTAATTCTCATTTGTATCAAATACTGAAATTTGAACAGAATACCTATACCTACTAACTGTTGCATTGGAAATTTCGTCTGGACATTTTCAAACTGCGATAATTGCAACCAACTCTCAAGAATCAAACTGTCAACCAATTTCATGTCAAATAGCTGTCAGCCGATATTTCGCTGATATGGTAATTATCATCTGCATTTATCAAAACCATATCTACCAAGATGTTCATAGTTACAGTACAACGATGTACAGTCGTATTCAATAAAAAACCGTACAAGTATTAAACATAGAGGATTTCAGCATTCTAGTTCTTGTTGTGTAAAATTGGCTCAGCCAATGCTTTGTGTTTTTGAGAACCTATGATTACTCTACTGTCAACATTTGGTAAATATTCATTCCCGATAGCCCGTTTTACGCAAATTGGATGACGTTAATTTCCCCCTCCAATATACTTGTACGATTTTTTTTTTAATACGACTGTAATAATACTTCCCTGCCTAGTCCGGAAAAATGCTACTTTCTCAAAGAAAAAGCGTCCGGGACCGTTGCCGAAATTATTTTCATCGTTATCACCCGGAGAAGTACTACTATATAGTTTGTCCATTTAACTGACTCAAGTTTGAAAACCCTGTATATTCTTTTTCAAAGAATATAAAATTAATTTCAACATAGCGAATTTTAGTGTAGGTAGGTACATGAACATTTGTAATGAAATTCTACGTTGGAAATGTGACTTCGATAAACTGCTATATTTCGACATTTTTCACAAATACATACACAAAATATATCAGTGTTCATCCAGGAATATGAAAGAGTTCATGTCAACTTCTCAATTGAGAACTTCAGAAGTGGAGGCAATTTCGAAATACTAAATCATCACATCATCGGTCAATAACTCCGAAATTTTAAAAACTGATTTGATGTTCTATTTGACATACGTCTAGACAGCCCTCGAGAATCACCCATACAGTCATATAACCGTTATATACCAGTTATATGATATCCAAATCAGTCAATTTTCGTAACATTTACCGTGAGTTTACCTGAAGTTGGGATGCCGACAGGAGTGCTAGTAGATAGACATCAGAGTTACAGGTTACCTATAATAAAAGGTACACGTCACTAAAAAAGTACCATTCTAGATTTTTTTGTGATCTGTATATAGCGCAACTGGGGTGAAATAATGCTTTATTAGTAACATTCAGGAAGTGCAAGTGCTACATGATCGGCTAGCAGCTAGGGATAAGTGGTAAGGATTTGAAATACTTCGCAATTTTTTTTAAAATACGATTTCTGAACAGTTGAACAAAGACCTATAGTCAACAATTGCCATTGAAAAAACCTCTAATATTATCTATACAGGTTGGATGGAATTTCAGCCTCATCATTGGGTCGGTTAAATTATTTCAAAGTTGCGCCATTTTTTGCCGTTTTGGAATTTGAAAAATTCCGAATACTTCCAAAGATTTTTGAAAATAAACGAATATTCGCGATTTCAATTTAATTTTTTTCTGACTCTGCTACTTTTTTGTTCTATAAGATGGTGTTATCAGAATATCAAACTAATCTTTCGTCTTTGAGCTGTCATCATCAACTTCGATTGCTTAAATACGGCCCAGTATTTTTATTATGCCTTTTAAGAGCTTTCAATATCCCAAAACCAACGGTGTATCGTACTCATTCAAAAAATTCATATAGATGGCTTTACAATACAAAAATACAGGGCCGTTCTAGAAAAAAAAACATAGTAGATGATGGCGTCTCGAAGACAAAACGTCGGTTTGAAAACACTATCTTCTAGAACTGGAAAAGTAACAATGGGAATGTGTAATTTGTTCTGTTACATCTATTCAAATAGAGTCATTAAAAATTAAAATGATATCGCGAATATTCGGTTCTTTTAAAAAATCTTTGGACGTATTCGGAATTTTTCAAATTTGGAATAGAATTTTGTAGGTCGAAAATTGCACAACTTTGACATAATTTAACCGAACTCGTTTCTCTTACTGTTAACGATATCCCAATGATGATGCTCGAATTCCAGCCACCCTGTAGAATCATACAGCTATGATAAAAAATTATTCAAATAAAGGAAAACACTGAATTCCAAACCTATTTTCAAGCCACAATTCGCTTCTAGGAACACTCAATTCGAAACTATTAACTAATAAAACAAGAATAAATTATTTGTTTTGCGTGAAAGTATTCATCAAAAAATTGGGTTAATTTTATTCATTGAAATAAATGGAATGGAATGCAAGTCAACTAACTGGTAGTAATTAAGTTCTATAACATATTCAGTACCTCATTCTGTATGGATAGACATCTATGGGTATTGATTTTTGATTATTATCTGCACTATGCAAAAAAATTTCAATTTTTTACATCTACATGCTGATCCCGTAAATATAACACACTGATATTAATATTAGTTTTTCAAATAAAGATTGGGGAAAAGTTTGAAATTGCACTAAGAGGAAAGTGATGTTTACCGAAAGAATTGCATTTCATTTCCTTCAAATTGTGTCAATTTATGAAAAACTGTTTTTTTTTTTGTATGAAAATTGATGAAAGTTCAATCTTGCTCTCTTTCAGATTGATGGAAATAAGCATTAAGTGTAACATGTTCGATTATTATCATGGATGATTGATGTTTGGATTTTTGTGCAATTCTATTCACTAGAATGTTTCTGATTCAGATTCAGCAGATCTTCCTTTATTCAAGATCCAAATGAAACCGATATTAATGAATGTACAATAAAATTTATTACTCAAATAAATAAACATACATTTAAACAAAAAACAATAATAGTACGTATACTCCTAATATTATTATTTGGCATTAGATTCCATTAACGTTACTACCTAAATCATCAATTCACAAAATATATAAAAATATGTACACATTTTCAAAAACTACAATATATCACCGTCTATTTCACTATATATATATATCTCAATTTATATACTTATAAACTACTTGAGAAGAATGAAAATATACTGAACCTATGACCAATGATTCGTTTCAACTTCGAAATATAATTCATTCTTATTCAACCTACAGGATGTTCCAAATATTGTACACGACAAATGTAAAATATTGCAGGAACTGTATCATATTACAATAATAAATGATAAAGAATAATGAAGAACAGAAAACTTGTCCAACAGCTTTCCTCTCTATATTGATATGATGCATGAGTAATACTTTATATATTATGCATATTGAGCATAGAGGGACAACTTCATAATATATTGATTAAGTGTTATGAATTTTCTATATAAACAGCTTCTCTCCATTTCCAGATAAACTGGCATCGATTATAAATCAATTATGTCTCATATTACATGATTTCATCCTTTTTTCTAAAGCTTTTTTGAAGCCTATTATAATGATTATTGATTTTCGTTCAATCTGTTTCAAGGTGAACCACTCAAATTGCTTCCAGCCAGGTGATGTTTTTATATACAATATGTCCTACTTCAAGCATAACTACCCTCGTGGAATAAGAGATTCAACTGTTTTTATTCATTCATTTATATTTCATTTCATGGCCTGCTGTAATTAAAATTACGTCACAAAATTCAGGAGACTCTGTCAGGCCTTATTCAATTTTGAAAACTGAAACCATTTCTCATTTGTTCATGTCTCAAAATGCCGAATATGGAGTTTCATCAAATTTCATGTACAGGGTGGAAAAAAATTCAAATGTTTGAAGAATAAGTCCTATTTTCTAACTAGAAAGATGAGAATCGTATCAAATTTTTTGGCTCAATACTCAACAACTCAATATTTCAGAAGTATTCGAATATTTAATATGATCAAATAGAATCAAAAGTTGGAGAGGGTTGTATCAAACAATTCGTTGGTATTTTTGCAAATCAACCTAGCACCACTAACTGATTTTTTTTCTTATTAGGATGCTGCGGTTGAATGGATCAACAGTTCAATTTCGATGATAATTCGGTAACTACGCACTACAATCTACATCTATCATAAATTATCAAAAATAGTGATCTTAAAGAAACAATGCCGCGATTAGTGAAAGAACAGCAAACATTATACTCAAAATCGCAAATAAATCAATGGAGGCTAATTGATGAGCGCATGCAATGCCATAGGAGCATGCAAATGCCAATGAAGCGGGGTCACGGTACCAGGAAGGGGTTGGTTTCTCGGCATCGTCAAGAATGTGCCTATCCGACCTATCTACCCTTCTAGATGACACAGAAATCCTCCGAAAACCATCTCTCGACGTACTTGGCGCGCTAAACTTCCCCACAACTCTATCCGCCTCAATTCCCAAACGCTCTTGTATGGCGACCTTACTGGAAGACTCCATAACCAACTTCGGAGACTTTAAACTTTCCAAAGAATCGAGATTGCTACTAGCCCCGGTATCGATTCCGTCAAAAGCAACCTCAGACTTGTTGCAGTGAGAGTTATCTCCGCAAGAACAGTTCGAATGGAAGCCAGAGCTAGTTTCTGAATCGTCTTGCAGATTGAAACTTACCGGCTTCCTCAAAACAACATCGCAATTAGAGGCAAACAGCTGATCGCTATCTGAATTATTAGTGTTAATGGTAAAGGCACATTCTTCGACTTGCAAAGCTACAACACCAGAACACACTGCCTCACCTGTAACCCCAACATTTTCATAATCGTCTCTATCAACTGTTTCTATATTATCATATACAGAATCCACCTTCGCAGAAGTCTGATCGTTATTTCCATGGTTATCTTCACTGTTCCTTCTTAGTGGTAGTTTGATATCTTCCATGTGCTCTTTCAACTCTTGGAAGCTCGCGATGAGCTCTGCTTTATGTTCCTCGAATGAAGATCGAGATTCTTCAGGTTCCTTGGTTTCAGGTAAAACCTTCAAGTCAAGATCGTCCACATTCAACTCTTTATCTGACACTAGATTCTCGTAATCATGATCAGATTCTTCGCTAACTTTGTCTTCTTTTGAACCAGTCCTGGACATAACAACGTTAGCAGATTCCGCTACTGCTGCTTCTTCATCAATTCTCTTTACAATTTCTTCTTCAGTCTTTGTTGTTGCCATCAGCTCACTACTATCGACAACACACTCCAATAATTTTTCACAGAGTTTGGCATGTTCTGATACAGCATCAATCTCGGACAATTTTTTGATCAACTCTTTATTGTTGACTCTTGTCACGACCTCATCCTTTTGTTCTTCAACCACAGACTCACACTTTGTAGATTGTTTCTCTTTATCTCTTTCTTCACGCAACATATTCAGTTCGTTTGTAATTCTCTCTGTAGTTTCTTTCGCTTCTTCTGCTAATGCATTCAAAAGGTCTTCTAAAGATGATGAGGTAGATTCACTCTGGAGAGCCTGTTTGTCTTCCAGAGGGGATACAGGTATGGGAGTTGACTCTTTTGGAGATCTTATACGTTCTGGAGTTTGTCCTCGTGGTGGTTTTGCTGACAACTTATCTTCTCCCAATCTTGGAGATGATGGTTTACATTTATGATTCGCATGAGAATTTTTCAAGCTGTTAAAGAAATTCTGCCGACTTTCTAACATGTTGCTTCTGTTAGTGATAGGATGAATATATTTCGTGTCAGTATCGCTCATGAAAGCCTTCCTAGTATTTGTTATTTTGTTTTCTTTCTCCTTCAATACGCTTCTGGCAATTTCCATAGCATCGGCAATATCAGTAAGAGTTTTGAAAGATTCAAATTCGTTTCCTACATCAACACTTGGTTTCTGTTTTAGTTTAGCTCTCTCAATGATATCGCTGTGCATTAGGCTGCCAATGTTAGCAGACAATGATCTCTGAGCTCTTTTTTTCTTGAGGTAGTTAAGGTCAAATTTGATATGGTCAGAATTATTATTCTTGAAATCTTCAGTAGATAGTGAAGGTAAGGCTGGACCTTTATTGTTATCTTTGCGAAGATTTCGAAAAGCTAAATCATCTTTAACTATATCCGGAATTTTGCGAGGTTTGAATGTTGGCGTGAAAATATCTTCAGGTTTGGCATGCAGATAATCGCTGTTTGCCCCAGGAGTTATAGGTCCTATGGGTATACCAAACGGTGGTTGTGGATCTACTACTTTCAACGAGTTATTCAAATGTTTAACATTTCTATAGACTACATCGTCTTTTGTTATATCAGGCTCATTGTTATTCTCTTTAGGTATCTCCTCTTCGTGATGATCTTCAGAGTAAACCGGCGAGGAGAGCAAATAACTAACTTTGGATATATGTGACTGTGGGTCACCTATCGTGTTTGCTCTGTATTTATTCAATTTTCTGAATGCCATGTCGTCTTGTTTGATATCTAAAGTGCGATTTTTTCTCATCATTTTCTTTCGTCTAGGTGAATCTACAGCGTCGAATGGTTCATAGCTGAAGCTAGAATCACTCAGAGCTCCTCTAGACGAGTAACTTGGATAAGAATTCAAAAGTTCCACAGGCAACTTCTTATCCTGAGTTTCTTTCTCTCTTTGTTCAGCTCTATCTAGTAGGTCTTCATCTCCTAGTCTCAAACTGTTGTATATTGCTTCTAGTTCATCTAATGCCTCCTCCAAGTTAGATGATTTGCGTTTGATGTCGTCTTTGCTTATTTCGCCAAGAACTGTTTGGTATGATATTTCGAGTGGTTTAGCAGTTTCTGGCATAGTAGGAGTCGCTGGTTTGAATGGACTAGAACCACGACTTCCAGGTTTCGTATTCTCGTGCTGAAGAACGCTAGGTAGGAAAATTTTGTTATGTACTTGAGTGTGACTCGTAAACATTTGTGGACTATCTGATCTAGTTTTCTTGAGAATTGGTTTATTCGGAATAGTATTCTGGCGATCAATCTGCTTCCAGAAATGCAGAGCTTTCTGACTGCCAGCCTCATTGTTATCACTATTACTTACAATGCCGACACTTGGCTGAACAAATATTGGTTTTCTGCTTCTTGGATGCTTGTCAGTAAGATAATTCAAATCCTCAGTGATAGCTTTCGCATCACCCCTCCTAGTGATGTATCGCTGAGGTCTATTAGCTTCAGGGGTAGTTGAGGATGGTCTCGCTGCTAACTGAACCTTCAGCGTGTCACGTGGTAAATGGTCCTCAGAAGTTGATCTGTAGCTGGGATGGAGATTGAAAGAATTGAATTTTTTAGTTTGCTGCAATCCAGGATGAGCATGAGAGGTAGTGAAGGATTTGGACTTGGTCTGGCCGCTACTGTCGAAGTAAAAAGTATTTGGTCTACTTCTACTGTTTTCATGGAAATGGTTGCCAACTCTGCTTGGATCTCGAGGAGGTGGTGTTGGTGGTGGCTGCCTGATTTTACTAAGTTGAGAAGTATCGTGAAGAATTCGATTTCTTTGTCCAAGGTTCGGTCGCGTTATGGGAAACTGAATGTGCAATACTTCTTGTGGAAATTCAGGCGAAGGTGCTATATTATGTATGTTTGCATCACAGCTTATGCTACGTTGCTCGATGAAGTATTTATCGATATTGGAGTCGATAGATCGCTTCGTACTGTTGTTATAATCGTTCATAGATTGCGGAGGTTTGTACGAAGGATTGCTGGTCGAATTGCTGACCCTATATTTGGCATGGTTACCGTGACTAGGAGGTATAGTAGATAAACCGGAAATGTTTGAACTCGAATTCAAACTGGAGAAAGACAGCTTATTTTTGGCATCTGTTGGAATTACTGAACTTAACACTAGAGGGCTCCTGCTTGGTGACCTGTTACTATCATCGGATTGTTTCCAGTTGATGGAGGAGTTTTCTACGTCTGACTTCGACAGTCGCAAGTAGTTGTGAGGATTCTCTCCATCTCTTGAATGACGTTTCAGATATCTTTCTGTTCGAGCTGCGCGAGATCTACGGTTTGCTGAATTTTCTCTCGCCTGGAGATTCTCCTCGCTCCTTACTTTCAAGGATGAATTCGATCGTTGAGATTCTTCTTCTGAACTGCTACCATTTTTCGAAGACGTCCTTCTTGCTTCTGCTCTTACTTTGGTCATTTCCTTTCTGCTCTTCCTGATACTATCTACTGAGCCAGAGCCAATGCTCACTTTAGATAGGTTGCTTTCATTAAGAGATTCTCTACTCATCTTTTGACAAGAGTCGCCTCCTGTAGGAATTCGGGGTAACGCTCTTCCAATGTAATGGGAAAATCCTCCAGTGGGATCTGATAAAACACCATTTTCCTCGTTACAGTTGTAACCATTATGAAAAGAATTCCTGGGACCTGGAGGTATAACTACATGGTCAAAAGTTCCTAGGGTCTTCGGTTTTTTCCTTCTGGATTCCGGCTTCTTCTTCCTCCTACCAAGGAACCCTTTCTTCTGGAATTCTTCCTCGCTGCTGCTTTCGCTTTCATCCTTCTTCTTTCTCCTGAAAATGTTACTAATCGACCATTTCTTCTCCTTTTTCGGCGACTTATCGGGTAAATCGTAGCTGCAGCCCAGTGTCCTCCTCGCAAGGGTGGGAGATGGGTAAACATCATTGGGATCCTTGTAAACTAATATCTCGTCAGTGCTGTTCATATTTTGGATATCCTGAGCATCTTTGGCACGAATGTTTGAGTATGACGACCAGGTTCTCGGGCGATTGCCTACGGTCTGAAAGAGAAAGAAAATATAATTACAACGTGATGATATAAGTTGGTGCATTATTATATATATACAGTGCAAACGGAAACGAAATAATGTTTACTGGATGATTTACGAAATGGACTAGATAGCTTTATTATGCCATGTGCATAATATGATGTGTTCCTTGTTCGATAACTATTGCTCGTAGTTCTATTTTCGAATGCATTACTCAGCTGCCATTCTCAATAGTACAAATTTAGATTCACATGGTCGGAAGAAACATTACGGCTAATCTCTGTCATTCTTCAACTGTGGTGTATTCAATATTCCATAGTGTATCAACTGAAAACATGGTGGTATTTGTATTGAGCTAACTTTTACTTTATGTTCAATACTTTTACTTTATGTTCAATAAAGTATATACCGGGTGACCCAAGAGTTATAGATAACCCTGTAAGTTACTTTCTTAGTTTATGGAATTGGATTACGTAATTCACAGAAATAATAAATCTGATGGAAGGGACGTTCAACACAACATAAACGACTTATTGATTGAAAACTATTACAATAATAATTATCCTTGTCACATATGATATATTTATTTATAATGTTATCGAAAATGTACCTAAATATTTTGTTCATGGTTCGGCGTTATAAGTTACATATATATAGTAGGTTCTCTATTGAAAGGAATACTATTTCGTTACTCATTTACATGAGGAAGTATTCCCAACAACATATAATCTCCAGAAGTTCAAAAAAAAATCCAATACCTACCTCCTATCCCTATCCTCCCTAGGAACGCACGATGTGCTTTGAAAATTATAGGGATTCCCTTTCGTGCGCTCCAAGCGATAAAAAAAATGTTCTGATATTCTCGAACAGTACTGTCGAGTGTATTCTTTCGTTGCGATTATACTGGAATGTACTGGTAACATTTTTGCGTGTCATTGCGAGGAACCCTGTTAGCGGCTAAAAGTTTACTGTTGGCCACTGGTGCAGAAATGGTGATGTAGTGCCAGAATACATGAAATGTTAGGTTGAGCGTTCGAATGGTTACGTTATTATTATATTAAAATACTAAATTAAGGCTCGAAGTCATTTCCACACAATGTCCATAAAATAAACAACAATGGTAGATTTCGGGCATCTATGCATCGACTCGTATAAACGAATACTGATACAAGTGATTCTTTCCTGAATGCCTATTGATTCGATTTAGCCAGGCCACGCTAGACACCTACAGACCGGTTTCGAGCTCTTTGACTCATCAGTGCAGGGCAGTCCCGAGCCAGCAGTCCGATCTGTAGGTGTCTAGCGTGGCACAGAAAAAAGGTATTTATCGTATCCAAACTTCAAATCCATTCGTTTGGAGACCTTTTGGATGAGAATGACGTTGTGACCTTCATTTGATGCCGTCACGACTCTCTTGGACCAATTTATTTGGAATAAATTAATACAACAATTGCATGTGACTGTGAAGTAAAAACTACTCGACATAAACATATATCTCAAAGATATCTGTATATTTTTTTCCATGCTGATGTATTAATTATTATCGGTTACACAAAGTGATTCGTTCGAACAATAAACATTCGTAAAGGCCATAAAATAAACCAGATACATATACCGCTTTGTATTCACAAGCGATAACTGAACATTTATCTGGTGGCATTGAAAAAAATCGTTCGTAATAAATTTGACAGTGAGCAATCGAGTTCCAAACAGCCAACTTCTGATTCAAATTTTAATGCGACAAATTCGAATTTAACTAGCAAATTTCGAAAGCTAAAAACAAATTCTTGACCTCCAGCCATCACTGAACCATTATCTGAATAAAATAGAAACTTGATTACCTGAAATGTTCAGGATCAGTCAAATAGTAGATTGTTTGATCAGGATCTAGTGACACTTTGTTTGACAAGCGAATTTTGCATCTGGTCTAATGAAAGGTAAAAGGTCTGAAGCGCCACCCCAAAGAAAAATGGGTTATGAACATGACTAAAAGCCGGTTTATTTCTGCATCGATCTGTCTAAGTTTCATAGCTTTCTGATCATTTAGTTAGCGCTTTAGTCACCATAAAATGGGTACCTATAATTTAAAGTGAAAATTCACATTTTTCTACTATAGTGGAGTAAGTCAACTCCCATATTAAAGGAACCACCATTAGATATCTCAGTTATCATTATTTTCTACTATTTTGTTGATCAATCCATCTTTTATGACATATACATATATAACTATGGTTGGTCAATTCTAATAAATTAATATTCAGAATATTCAGAATGATTATTGTGTTATTCCATTTTGCATTCTTAAGATATGAAAAGGAACGCGTAAGATTAAAATTAAATACGCCTTCCACTTGATTTTGTTATAAGAAAATCTGATTGGGATACATTTGATGATACAGTATTAGGTATTTTTGCTATCAAATTTGTTCGTTTGTTTCATTAGACATTTTAATCTGGTTACTTGTATAGAAGAGTTTTATGAGTAGGAAGTTTTACCCTACCTACTCATAAAAAATGTTTCAACCTTTTAGCAACTGTGTTTTATACTAACAAAACTGTTTTTCTAATTTTGACATGTAATGTGACACTTTTCAAAACTGACGGAAGTTTTGAAACGTCTTACTTTACGTAACCAGTTGCGTAAAGTAAAATTTTACATAACTGGTGATGTAATGTTCATTTCATTCATTCATTTCACACAACAAGAGTCGGCAGAACTCATGTAAAACTGGTCATTATTTTTGTTCATGCGAAATGTTTCGTCAAAATTAGAAAAAATATTGTACGTGACACGTTAGGAAACGCCATTTTGTGTAACTCTGTGATGCTGCAAAATCCCATCGTTACACAAAACAACGCGTTTCCTAACTGATTACGTAAATATCTATTTCATCGTATTAGTCATTTTACCTTTCAAACGGTACAAATCGACGAGTAAATATTTCCTATAACAATTTTCTAAAAAAATCTATAAATCTAATAGTCAATTCAAACCTAATAATGATTCACTAGGCAATTCGTTTTTTTCAAAATATAAACGTTTGAAACACTCTTCTGAAACCCTATATGAATATGTCGCTTTAGACCTTTTACCTTTCCAGTGATGGTAAAACTGTTTCAAAATTTCTTGGAGACGTGTTCGCAAATCTGGAACATTTCTGGCAGGTTTCGAGAGGAGCATTTTTTTAAGATATGCCACAAGGATTCATTCGACGATATATCTGTACTATACTTGATGCCCATTTTAAAACTGGAATATTGTTTTTTAACAACCAATCTTTTACTTTATCTGAATGCATTTGTTCAATTTGGGACGTTGGGCCAACTGCAATAGGAAAGGGCTCGTAGAGGTACAGATCACTAAAACAGCAGATTTTTTGGGTGAGAATAATCGAGATTTGGCCACATGTCTGAACTTTATTTCTGTCGAACTTTCCTGTGATTTATCATCAGCATTGACTCGCACAAAAATATGATTTCGGCGGAAATTCTTCACCATCATAAAAACCTTGATTTTAGCATGAAAAGTGATCCTCACAAACTAATATCAGTCTCTGTATATCCAATTTGAAAATGGGAATTTTCCTCAAAATAACAAATTCTATTTATATCATTGCTTCACGAAGGTTATTGTTCGGATTCGAAAATTCTCACAAAGGTAACATTGAAATAACTAAAATTAATAACTTCCGCTTTTGTGTCTATACTATAGGTACTCATTATTCAACTAATTAACACTCGACTTTATGTAACAGATTCATATTTAATAAGTAGGTTCATGTGAGAATATAATCTTTGGCAATGTTATATACGAGGTTATATATCACCAAAATTACGAGAACCAAAGAATGGAAAGTGCAACAACGGAGCATTTGTTTACGTAGGATTTTTTCATAACAACCTGTAGACGCAATTATTGTTTGATGCTATCGCATTATTATGTTTTGTTATTATTAATTATTTGACTCCTTACATCGGTCTGCACCGAGAATTGATCTGGTTCTCAGAACTTATTTCCCCCAAGAAAGGTTGTGTAAACAGTAATTAAAAATTGATCAATTTGCATAATATACACCTACTCTGCCTAACGTATACTTACTTGTTAGAGAGCATAGACCTCAGGTTGTTATTAAAAATATACAGGGTATCCCAGAAAATGTTGATAAGACATTTCAAAATTATTGAGGTATGCCCTCTAACGAATATTTTATTTTTTCCTTTTTTTTTTGGTTCATGACAAATTGACATTTATCATGAATATATTTCTGTTAATGAAATTTAAAATCTTTAAGAGAGAAAAAACCTAAGTATTTCATCAGGAATATTTCTTTCAATGATGGATGGGAGTGAATCATCATGCATATATCATTCAGAGGCGTATTAATTAGACAACCTGATGGGGCTGAGATAAATAATGTTTATACTTTACTACATGCTGTTTTGTCCAATGACGAAAAATTTCCTGATGATAACAAGAAATAACTAAAAGTACCAAAATATTATTAAAAACAACAGAAATGTCTACTGACTACAAGTGTTTTATTTATACCTTTTTTTATGGATGTATTGATAAAGGAAATAAACATTTCCGAAAGCTCGGCTATGTACTGACGAGTTCTCATATGTATAAGGCCAAAATTTTGACTGCATCCCCAATATGAAGATATATTGTGATATTTTTTCTATTTTTTTGATATATTATATGATTATACATATACAGGGTGTCCGTAAAAGGTTGGGACATGGCTCGGCTGTGGACTCCTGGGATAAAAACAAGTTGATTTAGGCCAACTTACCTATATCCAAAATCGTCTCGTTGAGTTGGTACAAGGCGTTGAATTCTTTTTGGAAAAAAATAATTTTGCTCATAAAAAGAGTAGGCTGAGATCGATTTTCATAATTTTTGGCATGGCATGTTCTGTGACTCTAAGTCACGTTTTGAGATGTTTTTGATCATCATCAGTGACCTGGAAGTATTTCAAAAAACCATAGTGCCGTACAAAGTTGGTGAT